TTTTTTTTTTTGGTTTGGGATATTTCCTTCCCCCGGGGGGTGTTAATTCACCCCCACCTAAACTTGCAGCTCGCTTCCTCCCTGCCACCCCATTCCCAGGCAGGACAGGAATCAACCCAAGCGCTGAGGAGCAGGGCGGGGAGCGCCCATCTCCTCCCCGTCCCTTCCCGTACGACGAAATTCAACGGGAAAATAAAAATAAATCGCATTTATTTGGGGGGTGCCACTTCTCTCCTGGAGGATGATGATACTGGCGGGGGGGCCCCCCTCTCCCGCGAAGGTCCGCACGTACCTTCGGCCAGGAGCACCTCGGGGTTGGGTCCCTCGGAGAGAATTAAATTGGGAAGTTAAGAGACAAAAGATGCCGTTCCCGGTGCCTTCCCTTCAGCCGCCGCGCTGCTTTTCAGCTACCGGAGGGCATCCCAAAACTCCCCAGAAATGCCCCATCGCTAAACTGTCCCGGTGCCTTTAGAGAGCCGGGAAAAGATCCTTTTTCCCTCCCGTTCTTCTGATTAGAGACGCATCTTTCCCAGGCGTCTGAAAAACTCCGCGCAGATCTCTGCCCCTTTTGTTGTGCCTAGCTGGGTTATTCGAGAGCGGAGACAAAAGCCCGAAGTGATGCGATCTAAATGAGCTCCGGGCTTTTCCAGATGGGACCACCTCTATTCCGAACGCCCTCTCTGCTAAATATAATAAAGCGCGATTTAAAAAAAAATAAAAATATTTAGAAAAGAGCTTCGCTCTAGACCAAACGGCGCAAGCGAAACCTACCCCGGAGGATTTTAAAATCCTCCTTTGCTGCCTAAATTTCGTTAGGGAAGCGGTTTTATAACGATACCTCGCGTGTCTGCTACTTCGCAGCGGCTGCGAGTTGCGGCGGAGGGGCGGGAGGAGGGGATGGAGCCGCGCTGGGGGTGGTTTTCTGTGCGGTTTTTTAAACGCACCGAGGTTCTCCCGCTCCCCGTGACCTCCCCGCTACCGTATTTAAGCGCCGGGAAAAAGAAATAGAGGCGGTGAGGGTGGGGTTGGGGCGGTTTGAACTTGGCCGCTGGTCTCAGCCGCCCGAAGCGATGCCCGCAGCGAGGTGGATCCGCTGCTGTCGCCTCCCGCTCCAAGGATGAGTCGCGACAGAGAAGGGGGCAAGAGGGGAAATAGAGCCAGGATTCGTGGTTGTCCCTTCCGGGAGAAAGTTTGTCCGTCTTCCCCCTCGGGAGGTGACTCCAACCCCGCCGTCGCAAAAGAGAACGAACGGGGATAACCGGAGGCGGTATCGCGACAGGAGCCCGGGTTCGCAGCTGCCCC